GTCAACGAGTGACGTTAGACAATAGTAGGCATTTTTTTCAACGATTTTAGATAGTCTGGCTCATAAAATAAAAAGATAAGCGAAGTAGAACTGCTGACATAGGGATCGGTAGGGCCACGCTGGAAGATGGGTTGCAATGACTGCGGTGGGATCTTTCAGAAGAAGAGGCTTAGTTGGGTTGATGGTGCCCAGCAAGAACCTTGACACAAAGCTAAAGCTAATAAGTCTTCTGCATGATCCCTAATATCTCATCCAAACAAGGGATACGGCACTTCTGAACGATTGCGAGTTTGGTAATTCGCATCCAGGTCCACCGAGAAGTACACAGCGTGCGCGGCTGAGCCGAATTTAGCAGTTGCCAGTGAAATCGGACGACACATGATTAATTCTCATGGAACAGAAAAAACAAAATTTACTAAAAAACGCAGACAGCCCTCAACAGAGAAGAATGTACACAAAAAATGGTTACTTCAATAGACCTGGCTTCGTTGTTGGCACATCTGGCTCCCTGCGTCTCACGTTCCACATTTGATGTTCCCGAAAACATCGTTGCGTGCCATCTAATAACGACACATTTCCTAAAAATAGACACAAAATGTAGAATTTCAAAAAATAAGCAAAGCAATAAGTGCGGCTCGATGATACTACTTTCACCCGTCCATTGTGCCCTGTAGTATACAATACTACCATAAATATCATTTTTCATTTACTTTACTCTTTATCCAATACTTATATAAACCACAGTGCTAATTCTACTTTCAAAGAATGCAAAAAAGCGACGCCCAAAACGACAAAAAATAATTGGCCAGCGCACCAACTGTCGGTGCAAAGATGCGTTTTTTGCACAGTTTCCCGCAGATTCTTATCAGTGAACGACATTGTTTTTTCCGGCAAATGTTTCTAGCTTTAAGACCTAAGATTGGCCAACACAACCGCCAGAAAATCCCCTTAAAATTACAGCTACTTTTCCTGGCTCTCGAGTTAGCAACTTACCTGCAGAAATATTCACAGGCCCGTACGTAAAAATTACGAATATCTGGGAGTTGAACTCATTAAGACCTACGTGAACGGGAAACATCCCCTTAAAATTTCAGCTTTTTGGCTTTTCTTGTCCCCAAGTTAGCAGCTTACTCGTCAAAAACCATCACGGATCAGTACGAATTCACGTGGGCAAGGAGGACAGAAGCCTGTACATGCATGTAAATTAAGTTCTTAAAGTTTAACCCTTTAGCTTTTTTGGATCTCAAGATACAAATTTGACACACACACAGAGACAACCCCTTGACAGAATGTGCTTTTGCATTGCATTGATGCAAAAAACGCATAAGAACCTGTCTAGACGGCCAAACTAGAAAAATGAAATTTGGCTGGGACGAAATGAAGGCATGAAACTACGCTCAAAGGCCAATATTTGTCCGAAGGTGCACTGAAAAATCACATTAAAAAGGGCTAGCAAAAAGGAATTAGTAAAAATCAATGGAAGAAAAAATTGGCGGAAAAGGCTAAACACGAAATACGCCTCCTATTTCCTGTCTGTGCCACCGCACATGATTTGTTATTGGTGAAAACTGCTCATCTATGCTTCGCAGCCAGTAAATTTCTCGAACTAAGACAGCAGTAATTCGGTGTGCACAGCGATACGGAGACACCAACAGCCCTGTTCCGTTGGTTTTCGCTCGCTGAGCCTCTCAAATTGAACATCAAGATAATAGAATTTTACAGCACCCTGCTGCACTGGTAAGCCAGGCCAGTTCTAAAAAGCTGAAAATACCGAAAAATTTGCACGGTATGAGATAACAAAAGCTTGTTGGTACAAAGAAATTAGGATAAGAAATGGCACTACAGATCGACTTGG